GCTCTGTCATCTTGGTGCTTGGGGGGGGTCAACAGTGGGAGGGCTCCTAATGTCCTGGCCCCACTGGTGGACCTCCTGATGGCACTGGTATTTCTGGCCACTGTGTGATACAGAGTGTTGGACTGGATGGGCCTTTGGCCTGATCCAACATTAGCATCTCTTATGTTCTTATGCCATGTCAGTTTATGCCATGTCAGTTTGCTCTTCCATCTGGCTGATCTTCTGCTGTAGAAGTAAGTCTATCTTAGATTACAGAGTCCAGAGCCGTTTTCACAGCTTTTTCTACTATTGGAGTGATTGTTTCTTGTAAAAAAAAAATGGAGATCTGTAACCATTAGTGTTAGGGAGCTGCGGTGGCTCAAGTGGCTAAGACGCTGAACTGCAGGCTGTGGAAGGTCGGTAGTTCAGCAGTTCAAGACCCGGGTGCCGCATGACGGGGTGAGCTCCCGTCTCTAGTTCCAGCTCCTGCCAACCTAGCAGTTCGAAAGCAAGAAATTGCAAGTAGATAAATAGGTACCACTCCAGTGGGAAGGTAACAGCGTTCCGTGCGCCTTGGTGTTTAGTCATGCCGGCCACATGACCACGGAAATGTCTTCGGACAGTGCTGGCTCTTCGAATTTGAAATGGAGATGAGCACCGCAACCCTAGAGTCGGATTCGACTGGCTTTCGAGCAAGGGAACCTTTACCTTTAACCATTAGTGTTAGAAAATTTTTCCCTTCTACTCCAGCCATTTTAAAATATTGTATTAAAAACAGAGAATCTCTCCAGCTCTTTGTCAATAAAATCTCTACACTCACACAGCTTTCTATGCTTACCCATTTACATTAAAAAGAGAGTTCCCAGGCAAGGCAGACAGTCTTATCATTTAGTTGTAATACAGACTTACCAGTTGTATACAAGAACCTCAGAACATAATATACTTTACAATTTTCAACAAGCCGCAAAGGTATGCACAATGAGTTATAAGAAAATGAAGTCGTGAAAGTTAAAAATACACGCTTAATAGTTCATTAATTCTTCGTTCTTTCTCCTTGATTTTACTTTATGGTCCAAATAATAAGATGTAAATATTTATAATCCAAATTAGATGTCCTTCCATGAATCCTTATGGCTCA